CGACGGCGACGACGACGACGACGACGGCGACGACGACGACGGCGACGACGACGACGACGACGACGACGACGACGACGGCGACGGCGGCGGCGGTGGCGACGCCGCGGCGACGACGTTTTTCGCGATTTGTCGGGGCCCGGGGTGGTGTCCATCAGCTGCGCCTCGTCGAGAGCGTTCGGGGAGTGCCCGGGTCGTCCCGAACGGCCGCCAGAGGCCCGAGCGGTGGCCCGAAGAACCAGGGGGCAGCTGCATGCGGGGGATAGGCCTGGCGGCGGCGATGGCGGCGGCGGAGGGGAAGGATGAGGGGGCGCAGGAGGTGGGTGAGGAGGAGGAGGAGGAGGAGGAGGAGGAGGAAGAAGCGGCAATGAGGATGACAAGGCGGGTGGAGGACGAGGAGGGGCAGGGAAGGGGGAAGAGGAGGAGAAAAGGATGGAAAACAAGCAGGAAGATGAAAAGTAAGAGAGGTAAGAAGGAGGAGGGGAAGGCGGAGGAAGTTTGATGAGCAGGGGGGAAGACGTGGAGGAGGGGAGGAGGGGGACGTGAGTGAGAGACGGAGGGAGGGAGTGAAGGAGGGGCGGACGGAAAAAGAGGAGGAAGAAGGAGGAGGAAGAAGGAGGAGAAGGAAGAGTGGGAGGGAGTGAGAAGTGGGTGGGACATCGAAGGAGGACGGAACGGGATGGTTTTTGTCGCGGAGAGTGGGCCATGGCCCGCGCTGGCAGTGTTGATGCCACAGTCGCCGCCCCTGCTCCTTCCTCCTTCCTCCCCCCTTCCTCTAGCCCCCCTGGAGTTCTGCACAGGCCAACATGCACCGAAGATGGATTTCTTGGATCCGCGCGGGGTCCCCCCTGGCGCCCCTGGCGCGCTCCGTGCGCCAGGGAGGGGGGGCCCAGGTCAGATCCAAGAAATCCGCGCGGACTTCCAAAAGGTTATGTTTATGCAGGTGCTTGCTCTTCGAATGAAAAAACGACGGGGTAAGCCTTCCACAGGCAAAAACAAATAGCCAATTGGCTATTGTCAGCACGGGCGACCAGTTGGCCCAGCTTGACCCCGTCTGGTTCTTCTTGGGCCCGCTGCCCAGAAGGTGGCCAAACGAACATGAGGCGACCTTGCGAATCTGCCAG